TGAGTCCACCCAGCTCTAGAGGGTATCTGACATTAGTTGGGGAAAAATAAAGGAGGTTGGTCGTTGTGGTGACCACATAACACTCTCGTTAACCGTGAATCTAACCAACAGATGACCTTTATATCTTCCGCCCTATGGATCGCAAGGTCTGGGAGGGAATCTTTTTTTTCTTTCACACAGTAGAAAGATCTATTATAACGAATCTAAGCCTGCATACACCATGTACACGATTATACGAAATCTTCCTCTACATGGACGTTAAAAGTGTTTAGATTGTAGACCTACAAATGTTGGAAATCAACCTATTATCATTACTTAAACCTGGACTTTACCTTCACCCACTACTATTACATCGATATGTGGGTGTCTTGGAAACGTCAAAAACTAGTTGTACCTATCACCACAATTTCAATTAGGGACCCAAAGTTGATAAACAACTATTTCGTAACATTAATCCAATAAATATTAAAAAGTTAAATTTTATATGATTTTGTCTATTATTAACCAAAAAATAAATAGAAATATATTTTCCACCCCTTGATTAATTTTAAATGAAAATTTCTAGAAAATCATATATATCTTCAAAATATTTTGGTGCCCCTCTTGATGTGACGCCCCTCTGAGAGCGGCGCCAGGGGCACAATGCACCTTATCTTCGCTACTGGCCACTGGATATATTGTTATCGATGACAATTATATTTTTTATTTCTTTGCTTTTCTGTTTTTTTTAATCGCTGTAAGAAGAGTTTCGTTTTAATGTTTAGTATGATAGACGTGTACAATTCTAATCATGGATCGGGTTTGGGGATCTCGCCCTGACTGCCCCTTAGAATGGAGGCTTGAGTCCAAGTTAAATGATTGAGAGAATGTTTTCCCCAGACAAGGACGGCGATGTGTTTCCAAGCGGGAGTGACCCAGGAGCGCCACCTGCCATGGATACCCGTAAATTACACCATCACCTCGGGGCAAAGAGCAGCAACTCTTAGCAGAAGAGAAAGGGAGGGGGAGGGGGAAGAGGCAAGTAAAGAGAAGACAAGAAGAGTACAAGAGCCACGAAAGACGGGGTCGAGCTAGTATTTAGATTTAATTAATGACTCGAACAGACCCAAACAACGATGAAAACCTCTATTAAAGAAAAAAAAATGATGAAAAGCTTCGTCAGGCCAAGGCAAAGTAAGTTAAGTTAGCATCAGATATGGAAATTAATTATATCTGCTTTTTAACTGTGAACAAAATTAGCGTTATTAATCATCCTTTAAAAATACTTTTTTTTAACCAATACAGTCACAATGTCTAAACACCTCACAAGAAGCCTTATATCTTGGTTTTGTCATTATTGGATGTGTGTACTAGCACAAGGTCCTGGGAATGTTCTCATTTATTTGTGTGTTTCAAGGTAGAGACTGTAATTGGAAAAGGGGGTAGCAAACAGGAGCTACTGAGGAGACCGCGCCTATGGAGATTCTTTCGTCACCATTAGGCCGTCATACACATATGCTCCAAAAATAGACTCTTTCTTATCTTATTTAATACAGACGTTACTTCAAAAAAGAAGATTACGCCCTACGCGTCATGCATTTTAACCAATGACTTAAATTCTGCCAAGTCACTGGTTTTCCTGGCTAACTCAGGCAATCCATTCCATGCTCTAATAGCACTAGGGAAGAAGGAGTATTTGTACAAATTTGTCCTAGCATATGAAACGAGGAATGTGCCTTTATCTTTGTGTCTTTCTGAGTATTTTATTAGATTTTGTATTTCAGTGTTTAATGTATAATTGCTACTTTACTTTTGAGTCTTCTCTCCTGAAGGCTTTATAACTTTACACCAATTCTAATGATCATTATCAATACGCGTGGCTGAGTAGCAGATACCACTTGGCTACGTAGCAAGGGGGATCGAGTTCGAATCCCGAGCTGCGATGTGCTTGCTGGAAACCTCCCAAATATCCCACTGCCCACATATCTACAAAAGAGATCGGACCCTAGCACACCGAGCATGATTAGAGCAAGTAAAAGATTTGGCATTCTAGGAACATTGAAAACAAAATTGTGTTGGTTTTTATTAGAAAGCAATTCTCCTTAACAAGACATGCTACTCAATATTGTTGAAGTCTTTCCGGCATCTCTACCAAGAACCATAAAAACTCTTTGCATGATGGGTTACAGTTGGGGTTAGGAGTCACTGACTGTCATGACACTATTGAAAAGTCGTAACTGAATCGAGCGTAATGACAGTATTTCTCGTAAAAGTGCTAAATATAAAGAAAATGCCTTTTTTTTTAAACAGCTTATATCAACTCACTCTGTCTATATGGTAAAAAGTTTGAACACTTTATTTCTCCCACACCCATTCTTGGATCAAGTTGAAACTTTGAACAATTATTCAGTGACATAGGCAATACATAAATCAATAAAAATAATTAGTTATTTGCCCATTAACTATTAGATATTAATTATCCCCTTTGATACGAACAAGGGAAACTAATCCTTTGTATTCAGAGATATGGTTAAATAATTATACACTCTATTTCTCCCACATAGGCCTATCTCTGATCAAGTTGAAACTTTAAACAATTATTTATTGTAACAAACAAAACATGAATTGATTAAAAATTTTATGTTTAAGTAAATTAATTAATGGTCATTAATGCTTTTGCTTGGTATCTAAAAAGGGGAATAACTACACCATACGTGGGTGATATAGTAGTAAGTGCAGATGTCTTAGAAAAGCTTTGTTCTTTAAAAAAGGATTGTTGTATGTTTAACTTTTTTTTTCTTCGCCTGATATATACGGGATGACTTCATTTGTTTTGTCAATCTAAAAGGTTTCTCAGAGGGAGAGGCGTCTGCCATCATCATAATATACAAACCGGGCCCAATGATACTTTTCTAGTCACTGGTACACTTTAAGGATATTGAAACAAACATATAACTGTATCCATAGCAATTAAAGTGTGATTTTTGCTACATAAAGAGGACATGTATACAAATCTTAACACAGTTATTCAACCATACTTGATTCCCCCCTCCCCCAACCAACTGAATAGAATACTTATATATACACACACACACACACGCAGAGCAGCTTTGTCCTTTATTTTCGTACCAAACCATCAGAGACTTTTGTAAGACTTTCCCATAGCCCGAGCAGACATCGAGGCAGACTTTCCCAAAGAGAACCTCCGGATGAAACAACAAGCAAGACGAAACTGTGGCGAGGGTTAAATTACTTGCCGTGACACAATAGTTCGGCCAGGAGCCAATGTTTTCCCTAGCTTTTGAACGAGACGCGACGCTCGGGTCACTTCTGCTATTACAAGCGGAATCGAAACCTTGTCGCCCACTCTTCTTTTTTTTTCTTTTTCAAAAGGCCCTTGCCCCCTCTTAACCTTTTATTCTTCTGCTTTATTGATCATTAGTGGACTCTAGAAATGGAAAGACAACAAGGCCATTAAAAAGATGCTCTTAAGACTCGGGTGTTGTTTTGTAGAACCGAGACTCAAGATCGGCAGTTTCCGATGTCTTGTTTACTAAGAGTTAAGTTTTCCTTTTTTGGCAGTCGGCGGGGGGGAGATGATGGGCGATTAACAAGAGTAATAGCTCCTTAGTGGTTTCGTTATCAGAACCAACCGGCCGGTATTGACACCATTGTGGTTGTCTTTTGTGTTGACCTGTTTTGACACATTGTACTGCAGTCAGACTACAGCCCGTGGACCGCTTGTGACATTTTTTTTTGTCATTGCAACACATTGACAATTAAAAATGTGACTTTTTGTGTGGTTTGAATGATACTTTATACATGCCCTCATTATTTGGTGGTACGGATCCGTATTGTCACAAGAAAACTAGCTGCCTTTAGCATTAAGTTCTCTGTGATCGTTCAGTTCGTATAAACTTCAATCTATGGTGGAGTCTTTGAACAAGACAAAGAAAACCAAGAGGAAGTCAAAAAAACATATAATTGACGTATTCCCCAGGTTCTAGTGCAGTTTTTATGTAATGAAGTATAAGGAAAACTGGCGCAAAAGTGAAAAAAAAAATTATTAAAAAACCAGGTTTCAAAATTTTCAGAAAGAATATCATAATGTAATTCTATCAAAGGCATATGACTGAGAAGAATGGAGAAAGAAGGTTGACAGATCCTGTGTAGTGCCCCAACGGTCCAGCAAACCAAGGGATAGGTGAAAGTGAAGTTAGATGTGTACCTGGCCTAACTGATGTCATATAATGATTATCTAATTAACTCAATTGTTTTGTAAAGTGTCAATCTGTGATTCAAAGCATCAAGAAAAACAATTAAAGATGGTTTATTTTTATGAAAAAACTGCTTGCATAGATGATTTTAAAAATTAAATTTTTCGCTTACAGAAAAGAAAAAAGTAAAATATCATGATGTCGGATTTTTCAATATCTTTTCTAGTTAACGAGATCTAAACGGGACGTACGGACACACCACAAAAACTTAAAAGCGTCTATTACCCTTTCGGGAGCCGCTAAAAAAAGGCACAGGATAGGAAAACAGCGCTGGCAGAAGAAAAGCACCAGAGAAAAAAAATCAAGAGTCCAGCTGGAAAAGCTTGCCCAGTGTGCAGCCGATCATTCCGAGCTCACATAGGTATCCTCAGCCACATGAGGAGACACCCCCCTCCCTTTATTTATTTTGATAACAGTTCTATCTTTATTTGATAGTAACGAGAGAGCATCTCTATTAGAAGTTACACGAAAAGATAATTGTGAAAGTAGGGGGAAACAAATCTAAGGAAACAGGGTACGTCTGTAATGTATAAGAGAAGTCGCCACTATGGATTTCAACATTAAACAGTATAAAAACATAATCCCCGTTCACATTAGACCTCAGCCACATACAGTTCTCAATTCACAATGTTAAGACCGTATTTTATTTGATTCATACGACATGCAGTTTAGCCTAATTCTCTTTTGTTTTTCCCCTCCAATGTTGGAACACTCTTTTATACACAAACTAGAAGGCAAACCGAGTGAAAATTAAAAAAAAAAACAGAGAATGTTTTATTGAGTCATTTGTCAAGTATGGCAATGTACTGAAACATAGAATAAACAAAGCATTCAGTTCACAATCAACGAAAAATAGTGAATAGAACATAAAATGACACCTCCCTCCCTCCACACATTTATGACTAAATCTAAGTAGAAATCATGATTACGCCTATTCATAGGTAAGGAAACAATTAGCCACTATTGGAGACTTCCCAAACAAAGATGAACATACAAAACTAACTAAATAGATCAATGTTCAAATAGTCATTAGCACTACTAGGACGAGCCTTCAGACAAAGTATGTTGTAAATGATGTTTAAATATCGTTGGACTTGCTAAATAGCATCAAAGAAAATCTTTTAGTTGGGCCTATGTCTTGTCACTGTACAAAATGCCCAGCCCAATCTTCTGAAGGACTCATTCTGAGGGAAGAAAGAACAAAACTTGGAATTATCAAAGCCAATATAAGACAAAGAGTCCAATAGAACAGTGTTTCCCAAACTTTTGACCTCTGTGTACCCCTGTTATAATTTTGTAATGCTGAGTACCTCTCACCCCCCCCCCCCCCATCCCACCACCCTTTTAATTTATTAAGAGAATAAATGGGTATAAAAAATCATCATAGTTAATGAGGTGCAACGCATAACCGCATATTTGGACATCACTAAATAATTTATACAAAAACCCAGTTATAAGAGTTGAGCTTAAGAATAGATTAAAAGAGAATGGAAAGTGCATTGCATTGAATTTCGTTGTGGTGGGTTCATTGTTCAGTCTAAATAGCTACGAGTTACTTACAGGATGAAAGGATACAATTTGAACAGACAATCTTAGTACATTCAAACAAAAGTTCTCTGCTAATAGAATGAACAAAGAACTATATTAGGATTGACAAAAAAAAATGTGTCCATTCAGTTCAGGAACGAATTCTATTGAAAAAAAACAAGTCAGAAGTGAGAGGCAGATGAGGACAAAGTATTCACAAAGACCAACTACTATTTGGGAAATTAATATAAAACAAATGTATTTCCTACATTCCATTGAAATAAATAAAACCTAACACTAAACATAATCTCACAAAATCTAAATCTACCTCCTAGCACCCACTTGTTAAACATGGCAGGAAATAAAAAATGTTGAACTGATGAAGTATTAAAAATGTTTTTTTCATTTTCTTCAAATTCTATCTCCAGTGTTTGGAGAGTTGGAAGAAAAAAAAGCATTTTGGTCTGGCTTCATGAAAATATCTGAACCCCCCAAAAAAAAAACTTTCAAGAGAATAACATTATCTTTCATCACTGTTGTAATCGTTTGGGCCTTCAACATGTTGCAGAGAGAATGGGGCTGGGAAGATACTAGTTCCAAATACTATTGCTACAATGACAGCAGCTGTAAACTCTATGATGACTAATTATAGAGAGACACAAACATGAAATCAATACTGATGATGTCAAACACAAACATTAAGTAGTCTTCATAGATTCCTTTTTTGTTGTACATTTCAGCTGGTAGTTCAGAGCTAAAAGATATTACATACTAGCTCCTCCAGCTGGATGACAGGGGATGGGGGGGGGGGGGGGGGGGGCTCAAACTTAAAACCATCTTGAATGACAGTCAGAAACACATACCACATGATTGTTTTTAAAATGTACAACTGTCTGAGACATTCAGCTATAAAGGTCACAATGGAAAGTAACAAGTCCATCACAATGAAAAACAAAGAACTAAAAATAGTCAGATATATATTTAAATCTTTTAGGTCACAGAACTGAAAAGTTTGTGAACAAAACATACAGAAACATAAGGAAACACACAGGTAATCTTGCATAATACAAACATTGTAATTATACAATCAGAAACAAAAAAAAATTGTCAAAGTTATATCACATTTAGCATTGGATAAAAATTAAGTAGATATATGATTTGTTCTGGTTGTTTTTTTTTTTTTTGTGTCAAGTCTAAAACAATAACACTAGAAAGTTAGTGGATCAAGACAGCCAATGGTGGACTGATTCCATATACAATGAAATGACTATGAAAACAAAATTGTAGATTATTTCAAAATAGATGCAGTAAATTTAAGTTAAATTTATTTAGAAATAATGAATTAAAAAAAAACACTTATAAAAATATATTATAAACTTTCTGTTATGTACCAATGGTAATATAATTTACAAAAAAAAACAACATCACAATATTGATGAGAAAGTAAAAATAAAAATAACTTTTTAACTGAACAAGTGTGCGCATAAAAGTAAATTGTGAATTAAAATACAATTAAAAGTCTATGGCAAAATAAAGCTTACTATTCCAACACAACACACACATACGTATATGATCTGACATTCTGACAGCAAGTCTTTATAAGTTAATCCAAGTGGTGTTCTTCATCAGTGCTATGATATGTGAAGAACATCCAATCAAAACCTGTCAAGTGTTTTGTTTCAATCATACTACTAGAGCACTGCTTCAAATGGCACTAAAATGTCCAGGCTGAGATGCAGAGTTTAATACCAATGTTTAGACTGAAGTAGTCTGAATCTAACATTCAGGAGGTCCCACTTACGAGTGGCCAGTCAATTTTGATATCTCTTTTAAAGCCCTGCTATGTTGGAACTAAAAACGTATTACAATGACAAAAAAGAAGAGGGTGCTACTGAATACAATTATTCACAAAAAACAGCTATTAATGGAAGGGGGGTAAGGTTGCTGAGTGTTAAGGTGCTTGGCTTCTGAAACGAATGGACTTAAACTCAAATCCCAGTTAAGACTGGCATTTTGAGCTTCTCCAATTTCAGGACACCCCTGAGCCAAAGTAATGAGTACCAGACATATGTTGTGGAAGTAAAAATGATTGGTCATTGTGCTGGCCAAATGCCACCCTCTTTTACTGTCAGCCACAAAAACAGATGAGCTTTACATCATTTTCCCATAGAACACAAGGTATGAAAAAAGAATCTACCTTCCTCCTTCTAATAGCATTGGTACCTATTTCAGGTTCATTTCTCCAAGTAGTGATTAAGTGTAAATACTGATAGTCAGCAGGGCAATCAGTTGAAGATAGTTCTTCAGAAAATAATGTCAACACATGGAAAGATCATTTCTTTTTGTACAAGTCTCTTTCACTTGTTAGTTGATATAGTTCAACATACTGATAGTATAAAAACAATGCTTGATATGAGAGTCAATCTTTTCATTCCGTATAACAAAACATTAAGTATGTAATACACATGGTCAAAGATAGGGATTTCATTCCTCAATAGAAGGGGAGAAAAAAGTTTATTACTGTAAAAAAAACAAAAACCTGATTTATGACCTACAAGGCCAATTCACAAATTTAAGACCTCAATCCCCAATATTTTGACCTGATGATTCCCAGCCCCCCCCCCCTCCATCCCCATGAAAACAAATGTTTAGAAAGAAAAATACAATACATCATTGTCTCAGACTGTTTCTAAGATTCTAGCCCTACCACTACAACATACCTGAGCATCAGCTTCTCTCCCAGTCCAACAAAAACAAGAAAACATTAACAAATATATTTTAAAAATATATATATGGGTGTGATAGAAGAAAATAAGGTTCAATAATACAATGTGTCCATCAATAAACAAAATAAAAAGAAAATTGTTTTTACTGTATCACAATGAGCTCTTGTTGTGTGCAGGGAATCTAGGCAGTTGGAGTTAACTGCATAACTGGAGACTTAGATTAGATGGATACTAGCATGACCAATTTCCTTTCTGCTGTGGGAACTAGATAAGTTGGATTGTGGAGAAACAAGGTAAGCCACATTCTATTTAACGATATGGGCAGCTATGGACAAAAAACTGACTAATCTTATGTATTTTCTATGACTTGCCTTTGAAATACTTGAGCTTCTTAGCTCCAGTTTGAGACAGACTAAAAATTCACTAATTTTTTTCACATTCCCCACACAACCCTAAAATGCCCATAGATTTTTTTTTCATGGCACTGGACCACATAGTTGTAATGGTCCCTCTCTAGTGATTGTCTGAGTGGCTATAACTACTATGAAATAAAAGAAGCAATTAATTAATAACCCTGGCATTTCCCAATCAGCTGGTTTAAAGGTATTATGAAACCATTTGATTAACTTAATATATATTTTTAAAGCTCATATACTAACACATCAGAGTATATTGCTTTAGAAACAGATTATGTTTATCCAATCTCCAGGTCAATCTTCCAGGACATGACCCCAATCCAGGAAATGAGTCCAGTTCTAATACAAGTATTGATGTATTATGCACAAAGATTATATGGCAAAAAAAATCCCAATAAAAAAAAAATAAAAATAAAAAGTTTTTCTTTATAATTATCTAAATAATGCAAATATTTACAATACAACTAAAAGACAAAGAATATAAAAGTAGTAAAAAGACTAGGTCAATTGATCAAATTAACTAATGCTTCAAATTTGTAAAAGCACTTATGATATATATATATATATATATATATATATATATATATATATATATATATATATATATATATATATATATATGTGTGTGTGTGTGTGTGTGTCCATTACATTTTTCTTAAACAGTACTTCTCAATGTGATATCTGATAGGGTGGCTGTGAGGTAGAGTATCTTGATGCTTATTAAAGGTCTAGGTTCCAAATTCTGCTTAACATTTGACTTTCACATGGAGCTTGATCAGTATGGAAATACAGAAGACCCTGAATTCAGTCAACTCTAAATAATGCCTCATGTCAGCTTAGACAAATATTTGGTAATCATTCTTCTGAATAGTTGAAAGTTATAGGTCACAAAAAAGTGAGAGTTGAGTTTAGTTCCAAGTGATTATTTTGACTTACAGAGAACCAGAGTATGAAAAAACTAAAAAAACCTATTTCAATAATGAAATATAAATCTCAATTTACTAATCACTGGGTCAAAGATGAAACTGATGGTAACATTTTATGGTTACGGTGAAAATAAAAAAAAAAGATTTGACAAGCACTGTATCTATATTGATGTAATTAGTTCTAGAATAGTGATGCTAATATACAAGAGATTTGTTTTTACAACAAAAAGAGATTTGGCAAGTAGTGGGAACATAACGAACTACACAGGTAGACTACAACAGTACAACATTTTCACCCCATCAACCTACTGACTGGCCAGAGGTCACTCTGTCACACATCCACTTACAGTATACAAGAAACAATGTTATGCCTAGAACAGTATTGACTTGAAGCTTCAATGAGAGAGACAAGACTCTAGAAGGAGACTCTACTGGCTCTAGTAATCACACAGTACACATAGCATAGTCACAAACAGCAGCAACCTTGAAACAGCTGAAACACTTTTTGTACACCATTTATATGTGAAGTTGTGTGGCACTGAAAAGAAACAAAAAAACAAACAAACAATATTTCATTATGTTTGACTTTATCAACCAAACAGCACTCAATACTTTTCAAAAAAAAAAAAAAAAGGTTAACTTAAATGGTATCTCTTTTCTTTCAACCACTTTCTTTTTTTTTTTTTGGACAAAGCTTATATCAACTCAATCTAGGTTTGGTACAATTTGTCCATAA